GATTATCAGTTTAATTATGGGATTGCAGAGACCAGTCATGATAAAAAACTTTGAACAAGAAACTTTGGGTTTTTTGTATAGCATTAAATTTTACAGTAGAATGGAAAGTATTGAAGTTGCTTGTGATTACATGATTTAAATTGAAAATTTTCATCTTAATTTGTGACTTTCTCTTTTTTAAAATAAGCAAATAACACTTGGCAAAAGAAATTGAAACGACCTGCAAAATGCTGCAAATTTACGCAGATCTTTTACGTATCAAATCCGAGAATTGCAGTGAATGTGATCAAAAAAATTTAGTCATTTTTTGCACTTTAGCTAATAGAAATTTACTTTTCCAGCGTAAGGTTTTCGATCTTTTCAAAATGTTGGGTGATGGGGAGAACCATGCTCTACCAGTCAGTTAAATTTTCAAACAATTTAATTATTTGTATTCTTTTTTTTTTTTGAAAAAAATGATAGTTGACTATTAAATTGTTTGGATTTTAATCTAAAGTATTTATCTAAAGATTATTTGAAAAGAATATAATAGCACAAACCGTAAGTTTTATATAAATTACTTGATGATAAATAGTGGCAAACTACTGTTTAGCTTTCTTGTTTATTGATGAATTAGTAGACACATTATAGCTGTACACAAAAAATGAAAACTTATTTTTCACTTAACCGTTTTGATAGGCAATAAAAAAAACTGCAGAAAGATGTAAGTAAATAGCTTCTTCATATGTATTAATTTTTTTTTTTGTTTTGCAGATAAGCAACATTATATAGTAAGAAAACAAAAAAATGTAGTAAAACGAAGATAATTATATAAAGAAAGACTGAAAAATGACATCTGATTGCAGGGTAACTATCTTTAACTGGCTTAAACAAAGAATGAAGCTTTGTCTCTTAAATGCATTTGTTTTAGCAAAAATTGATAAAACCAATGTGATTATCATAACAGATAATTTGTTGTGCAATATTGTCAATATTCTTCAAAGATTGCTTCACTCGTTTTTCTTATTCTACTTTTTTTTTCTTTTTTGATGTGACATTACAAATCAACCAAAAATTTGTTTTTTTCCTTACTTTTTTAAAGTTTTTTGTTGCAGATAAATTTGCCATGTGTGTCTTAAAGTTAGAACTGAATCTGATTCGATTGATGTTTGAAAATAGCTGTCAGTTGTGCTCCTCTCTATAAAACACTGAATGCAGTATCTGCGAAATCCTGTGGATCAGCAACAATAAATCTGTGAAAACAAAAGTTAGTTTTTTTGAAATTTTTTTGGTTACTTTTGATAAACTGTCAACAATAGAAAGAAAAGCTGATTATCAAATTCAGAATATGTTAAACTCGAAAGAATTTGTAAAATAATTTGAAAAAAACATTAGTCTTCTGTCGTTCAATTTTTTTAGAACTATTTGTTTGCAGTAGACACCTTTCACTGCTTTGCTCAACTGTTGGTCTTTTTTTTGGCTTTATCAATAGGTGACTATAATATATAACAGCTGAACGTCAAAACTAATACAAAAAATTATTTGATTAATCTATTCATCGACATAATTAAAAACTTTTTTTCCCACTATTTTATTTAAGAGATTTTAACCAGTAGCACAAAAGCGACGTCTAAATCTTCATAACCTTTTGCCGTCAATTGTTTCATTATAAATGTAAAAAAAAACTGAACACAGCGCTGAAAAAAACACTGAACTACTAATAACTTCTTCTTATTCTGTTAAAAAATTATATTTACATCAGCAGTTTTAAGCATTATTCTCAAAAAGTTTACTTAGATTCTTCAACAAAACATAATAAGAAGCAATAAAAAAGATGAAGGATTAAGTTGTTAGCAATAAATTTAACAAATTAAACTGTTTAAACTAGCATGTACCTGATCCATGGTAGATTAGAAGAACTCAAAAAAGTTTCAAACTAATTTGGTTTCATAGATTATCAAACAAAATCTTAGTTAAAGTAATTACCACTAGTTATTTACAAAGATTTCTGACACATTATTGAAAAGATTTGCAGTAAGAAATTCCGAGAAAAGTGCTTTAACAGGGTTGTTTTTTTACACTCTGTCTCCAAGATGCAATAAAATCTGCAATGTTTCACTTTTTTTTTGTCTCCAGCTGTAATGTTAGCTTTATTTATGCAATGGATCATACCATTCAGCAGTTGCATAAGGATGACGATAGTGATGATGACGTTTCAGTAGCACAGAAATTTCAATAAATTGACTTTTTTTTTTT